GCATTACAAGACATCTATCAATATTTGTGCATACCTCCAGCAATGTTAACTATGTTGAAGCACTTATTTTAACTGATATTATACATAATGTATTATACTCTTATAAGATGTATGTAGATATTTCATCTCCGGCCTTGTCAGGTATTGAACAATCAATAAATAAAGAACACAGAATTGTTGAATATAAAACACAGAATTTGTGTGATTATACTAAATGATTTACAAATAAACACCACTGCATATTTAACTGTTACACATGCTGATGTAACGCAAATGTTCCAACTTGGGATCAATAAAGTATATCTTATCTTAAGCTGATCGATGGCTACTGCCATATTTGCAAAATGTGTCTCTGAACCTTGACAAGTGCATGTTTCAGGCTTATCAATTAATGTAATGTTATCAATTAACAACAGGGGTCACAGACATAAGACCAGCTGTTAAATAAAGCTCTTCTGACCTTAGCTGGCATGTGTGTATATATTAATGCTGCCCATTATGGCCACAAGCAATTTTCACCCATTTATTAATTATATGTTTTAAATGTGAGTGTTTCCTATCCCCTAAACCTCCAGGGATGTACACAGTTTTGTACACCCGTTCAAATCCAGTTTTGTACAGTCTGCGTGGTTCCATCCCATTTCAAGTGCTGTTCGAGGCTCGGCGTAACCCTCGGAGCACACTCTCCAATCACAGAGCTTGAGGACTATCACGGGGTTTGTCAAACAGAGCACATGGTGTAGTCCAAACGATAGCTGGGGATTCTGGGTAGTGTAGTGTCTTCTGCCATCCTTTACTCCGAAAAAACATTTGTTTCTCCGAATCGAAGGGGAAAAATACAAAAGCATTGCACACAATTTAAACCAATCAATGTTGTGTAATTATCAAGGATAATCTGGTGTTTTTTAGTCGATGAGTAGTGCAGATATCACTGTAAAATCAATCCACAGTAAGGGGAATACTTACTTCCGGGTGTACAATTCTCCGTTATCCAATGAGAATGGACGCTCACATTGCCTTTAAGGGCAGCCGACACAAACAAATGCCGTGCTTCCATGAGCGTCCATAGAAGCATTTGGACATCCCGGAAAGCTGAAAATGGACGCTAAGGGCCCCCCCCTTGCGTTGAAAATGGACGCTAAGGCCCCCCCCCTTGCATTGAAAATGGATGCTAAGGCGCCCCCCCCCTTGCGTTGAAAATGGACGCTAAGGCCCCCCCCCTTGCGTTGAAAATGGACGCTAAGGCCCCCCCCTTGCGTTGGAAAAAGCCGACACGGGACTTGACATAACGTCAACATAGGCCGACCTGGGAGTGAGGATGTGTTGTTCAGAACAAAAACGTGAAGTGAGGGAGGTCGTTATTCAAGAACTGACTGTTTTATTGCTGAATAATACTGCCCCAAAAGAGAAGAAAATAATGTGCACTGTAGATTTGGGACTTTCTCCTGCTAACCAGTCATTTGAGATGATAGTAGATACTGGTCCTTCAGTGTCACTGCTGCCTGCTCATGTGTACGAGACCTACTTCAGTCACATACCACTGAAACCTACAAAGGTTCCTCTAGTCCAGGGGTCGGCAACAGGCGGACCGCGGTCCGGATCCGGACCCAGACGCCGACCTATACGGACCCGGAGCTATAATCAATACATTAATAGGGGATTTTTCGGCGCCTCCCGCTTTTTTAACGCTGATTTGGGTGACTTGTGTAATTTGTGGAGAACTGAAGAGTTTTCGTTTTGGGGGTGGGAGTCAGTCCGACTGGCGGACAACTTCTCACTTCAAAAAAGAAGAAGAAATCTAGACCGCAAAAATAATTAAACAAGCGAGTACCTGTTTTTCCTGGCCAAGGACAGGTTCCATGAACACAACACGAGCGTAACGTGTCTTCACGTGGTATATGTCTCGTCTGAAAGGAGTGCTGACAGAGAGCACCGGACCGCCGCTCCAGCCCTTAAAATATTGCAATACCCATAAGGAGCCGTACACATGCCGCAGTGTTTGCGTGGCTGTGTCTTTAGTTGTAAGCACAGTGGCGATCTGTTGTTATTAGCATCTGGTTAGCTAGCTATGCTAACGAATTTAAAGAGCTTTTCTCAACCTGATCTCACCAGAATGCGTGACTCCACTACGCAACCTTAACACCGCATTGCGTGGTGGAGTCACGCATTCTGCTACATGTACGTGTCGGCACCACGCAAAAAAAAACAATGTAAAGTGAATGAGGCTCTTTTGTCGTGGTCCACACACGCATTTCTACAACGTCCCGCAGTGAGCTTTTATTCTATAAAACGTTTTTTAAATCTACTTTATAGCTTGTAGTAACTCACAGGAGGCTTCTTTTCTTTTATTTGTATTCATAATCATTTGTATTTTTCGTCAGAATGTATTATGGTGCATTATTTATCAATTTCTGTTCTCAAAAAACAGTGCATTGTGTGTAATATAACTGTGATTTTTATTAAATTACTTAGTTTTTAAGGAAGGCCAGAGCTTCAGCTGTGTCCAATAGATTGTTCCCTTTAGTTTACGTTATTTAAAAGACAATGATATTCCTATTTGATCAATAAAGGGGTATTGAAGGCCAATATTAGTCATTTAAAACATATACAATGATGATAATGATGGTGAAAACCACTCCCCCCACTGGCTACTAACTGTATTTGAAATGCTTTTTGTTTAATAGTAATAATAATCATTTTTATTATAACAACAATAAACCAGAAGAAGATTCCGTAGTTACCCCGGCAACGTTACGTCGCGCTTTACGGCAACGTGACGTAGCCACGTTACCCACAATCACCTCACTTTCATTAATTTCATCCGATTTAATCTGACAACGGACAACAGTAAGTATCTAAAATCAAGGGGAGTTTATTTCTTTAAAACACGAAATAATATTGCTTTTATTTATTCCACTGTAGCGCAGTCTCTATAGCGTTTCATTCCTGGGTATTAGTTTGAGTTTTGGAGTGTGTTTAGCTTTTACAATAGGCCAACTAGCGGCCACGTTCAGCTAGCCTCCGGCCTTCCGGTCAACGTTTTGAGCTGGATAGCATTTATAGTTTAGCTAAATTACATTAGCTGTCCCCGGCACAGTTGGACAGTGGAGGTGCGTGCTAGAAACATATGTTTACATTTATGTATTTGCACATGTGTTGTAAAGACAGTGTTCAACACAGTTGTAATAGCTGCTAATGCATCGGCTATGGAGTGGAACTAAAATGTGGAACTGGAGTTTCCCAGAGGATTTGACTGGCCACCCAATGTCCCACTCTGAATCAGAAACACTTCATTGATCTCCGGGGGAGATTGGGATTGTTACATTGTAGAATTTAAATATATAGTAGAAGATATAAGAGAAACAAGTGCATAATATAACAATATGCACAGTATAAATGCATAATGTATGCCAGAGTAATGCTCAGATGAATTATTATTGCATATAGAGTAATGCACAGATCAATTATTATTGCATAGAGTATTACACAGATGTTACTGTTATTCTAAATAATCCTAATCATGTTTTTCTGTTTTACAGCTTCATTACAACACTTAATATCACCAACACACACACACACACACACACACACACACACACACACACACACACACACACACACACACACACACACACCACACACACACACACACACACACACACACACACACACACACATATAAAACCAACGGCACTTTTAAGAGCCACTCTTTCTCTCACTGTCTCTCTTTCTATCACTCTCTCACTTTCTCTTTCTATCACTCTCCTGTCTTTCTCTCACTCTTCATGTTGTGTATTGTTTGTATTATTTGTATGCCATGTCCCTCAACCCTGAAGTGAGGGTCTTTGAGGATCGCAATGAGGCCACGGTGCACATGCCATCATTGATTAGCGAGGCTCATCTCCTGGAGGCCAGGGTGAGGCTTTTCATGATAAGCAAATACCCAAGTCTGTAATATAATCATTGCTATTGCTTTTTATTGATGTCATGTAAAGGGACAGTTAGTCCTTTTTATGCAACCGTTAAATAATTGCTCAAATATAAGTGCTGCTGTCTTATGTTGTATTACAACTTTGTTGTTGATCTCAACCTCTGAAAAAAGATAGACTGCCATGGCCACGGAAACCCCTGCTCCCTGCGGAGAAGAACAAGCAGGAAGAGACCTCTTTCTAATCCAGTGGTCACGCAGACGTGAGAGACAACGGGAAACACAACGCCCCGCATCAGGTTAGTTCTTTACTATATCATGATTTCTAAGAATAAAGATCATTCATAACAAAGTTATCTTGGAGTACACAGAATGAAATTATGTCATTTAAAGATACCTCTTGACAAATCTGTTGCAATGTTTAAAACATTTCCAAATGAAATGAAGATATTTGAAGAGCCTGTGATGAGAATCCTTGCCTGTGTTGTATTTTTAAATGTGTTCCTCCATTTGGATAAAAGTATGCCAAATGTAAATGGTCATTGTGATGCTGTGGTAATAAGTTCTTAGTTTCATTACCTACAGTCCTTACAGAGCATTTTCATATTACAATGAATTGGTGTCCTTTTAGATTGATTGAAGGGTTAAGCAAAAAGGAAGTCTCTGCAGCTTCACAAGCCAGAAGAGACGATCCTGTGCACGAGGAAGGCCTTCAGCTAGAACATCAAGAGTTTGGTAGTCTTGGTGAGTATATTGATTATAACAGCAGTTGACTGGCACTACAGTTTTCCCCAATGTTTCCATTTTTATACTCATCTAGTTAATCATAATAAAGTATTGAGTATTGACTGTTTCATGACAAGTGAATGCATATTTGGTATAAGTATCACTTGCTAATATTGCTTTGGATGCATATGATTCATAGCATGTTGCTATTATTAGTCCGCATATCTTTTTCCAACTCAAAAGTGGTTCAGTATACTACCTTAATATCCATCATACCAGTTTTAGGGTGGCGGCTTAACAGCTGTTTTATTGTTTAGAAACTCATCTCCAAGAGTTAAGGGACGCCCTAACTGCAGTCCAGGTTCCGGAGGCAACAGACGGACCGGTTTCTGCCTGGGCACAAAGGCAGCTTCTCACAGATGGGAGAATGAAAACGGCTAGGCCAATGCTTTTTAATGCAAAACTCTCAGCTGAGAGAATAGCCATTCAGAAGTGCCACAGATGCTGTGCAGAAGAAGCGGCTATGAGGTGCCTGGACTGTGTTCCACATGGAGTTCCTCTGTGCAACCTGTGACATGGAGGCCCACAAGAGGAATATCTTCCATGACAGAGAGGCTGTGTTCAATGGATTTCTGGAGCCCATCCCCCGACAACTGCTGTGGTGGTGGATGAAAATGGCCAGCCTCAGTTTTGTGAACAAAGTATGTAAAGGTTAACATTACATTACAATGTCCCATTATAATGTAGTTCCCAAAATGAAGTGCGAATGGGAAGTGTACATAGCTGATTGAAAAAAGTATGATTGGTTTTGACTAGGGCTGCAAGATATGTGGAAGTTATGCAACATTTTATTGAATATCTTTATAATCTGGAGAATTAAGGAAAAACTGTAAATACACCCTTCCTAATTTATTTTCTATATTGCAGTATGTCAACTGCCTGTTCCTACTCCAAGGTCAATCTGTGAATGCTCTGATGACGTCACAGTGACTCCTTGGAAGCATATTTCTGTGGTCACCATCAACGGTATGTTGTTCTGAAAGCCCTTCTTTTTGTACAAGTAGTATTGTACGGCAGAGTTTTACCACTTTGTGCAATGCAAAGATTTGTATCACCTGGTCATTTCCAGACAACACCCAAATGCCATGTAAATAGCTAATATATCATATATGCACATCTATGTATAAAATCCAATATTTTAAGGCAAACTCACAGTTTAATTACCGAAATACCTTTATTTGTTCACAGGACGATACAATGTCTGCTTGCATCGGAAATCCTGTCCATCCTGCTCTGCAGAATGGACTCCTGAGGTTAAAGACCTGCTTTTGTATCGGTACTGGCCAGCTAGCACCAGCTGCCAGACGCTTTACAAATATGATGTGTTCACCTCATTGGAGCACATGAAGGTGACAGCACCAGCCGTGTCCAGGCAGGCATTTCTGAAAATGTTGGAGCACAGATCTGTTCAAGCTGGACGGGTAAATCTGAATCACACGGAAACATACAAAAAACAATATCATATTACTGTATACCATATCATAAATTGTTGGCATTGCTTTCAAAACAAATACTAATCCACTTTTTAAAAATCAATATACAGACAGGTATTATCTGTGCTGATACATTTCAGCGAAGCTTCTTCGAGTTTAGCTTCTGTCAGTACAAACAAGAGGATATGTGCCAGGTCCATCACTTGGTTTGTCCAGCATGTTCTCCAGACATGTGGGCTGTCTGCTGGGATGGAAACCGCAAGCATTACCGCTTTTCCAAGTCAAAAGGGTATGTATAGGTATTAATGAAAATGATAAAGAACACACCGCTAATACAAATAGTAGCCCTTGGGGTTGTGTTTGAGTAGCCATAACAGACATTAAAACAAATCATAGTAATGTAGTGCTTTGTGAGTTTTATTATTGACTTGTATGTTAACTTATCATGGACAGGACTGAGGAGCCGACAATCTATGAGGGCTTGTTCCTGGCCAAGGACGAGGAAGTCGCAACATTTGTTGACCTTGTCAGAGGCAACATGAAAAGTGTACGTTTTTGTTCTTATTATGATAGTTGCAGTTACACCTGTGGTGTTCTCTTTTATATATGTCAAAACTTGTGTGTAATAAACTGACTTTATAGGGAAATGACAGTGCCGTCTGTGGTACTGCCAAATTCACCGCTGGCAGAGAGATGTGAAAAAGGTCTGGTGCCCAGATAGACGAGCAGTTTGCAGGTCTGTATTTGTAAGTGTGTCTGTGTGTGTATATGTGTTTGCTTCTTGAGTCTGGTCTCATTATTTCAGTTTTAATAGCAATCCAAGTCTAAGTCTTTGTAAGAATTGGAAGCATTAAACACTTTTGATTGTGGAGCGGAATTGATCCATCCTTTGTAGCATCCAAGTGATATTTGTTGTTAGAGCCACCTAGATGACAGAGTGCTTAAGCCAGGCCTTGCTGTGTCAGTTTATTATTAACAACTAGATTTTCTTCTGATTAATCAGACATGGGTTTCTCTTACGAGGACTGAACCACTTCCGTGGAGAAATATACGCGTACCCAATGTTTCTCCAAAAAGAGATGTCCAAGAAGGCAAATGTTGACTTCTTCTGTATGGATGTAACATGCAGGTAATCCTCACTGTCATATTGCACATCCACAACAATGTTTAAAATGGCCTATGCCTCAGCAGTCATTTTAGATGATATTGATATTGTTGTCATGTCAATTAAAAGTGTATCTTTGTAACACTCAATCACAAAATGCTGCTCCTGCTTCTTAGGTACTGGCCATACCTTCATAAAATAGCCGAGGGATTACCAGAGCTTCTGCCGTTGACAGAAATGAGGCCATTTCTTAGCGTGATGCATGCTAAAGCCCATACAGCAACATGCGAGGTACATAACATCTTTAATGCAAAGGATAATGTTGTGCATGGCATGCCTTATTGGATATCAAACACGTTGCTATATAACACTATTTGCGCTGTGTTGCAGGTGAGAGGGTGGCAGAAGTCAGGACGGGGCAGGAAACACAGTGGGAGAGGAAGTAGAGCAGGTATGTTATTAATGGCATTATTATAACTGTATGGATACAAGAGGTCTTAATAGAAAGCAGTACAAATATGTATGTGTCATCTCAGTGACAAGCCTGTTGATTAGTTTAAAGCATATCCTTTATGTCTGAGTTCAAATGAAAGATAGGCAGCTCATATGTTCAGCAACAATAAATGCATGCACATTGTAGGAAGTCAGTACACAAGTTTTCTCTTAAACCATCCAGTTCAAGATCTATGATGTGTAGGTAATATTGTTATGTAATGGTGACCATTCATTGTAACATTCATTATAGGTGAACAGCTTTCTCTCCAGGGCAGCTCTGGTCACAAAATACATGACAAAATCAGGTTGGTATTAACACTACACACTGTGAGAAGTATTTTACAGAGAGTTCCCTCCGTAAAAACATTATTGGTGTATTACCAGTTCAACAACCTTTTAACGATTGGGTTTAGTCTGTCAGGTTTCTCACTCAGTACTGCCTTTTTGATGTGAATACTTACTTTTTGTTTGTGGATATATTGTTGTGTTTTTTAGGAAGAGGGAACCTGCTTACTCAACAGGCCATGGGATGGAACAGAAGGAAGAGGGAACCTGCTTACTCAACAGGCCATGGGATGGAACAGAAGGAAGAGGGAACCTGCTTACTCAACAGGCCATGGGATGGAACAGAAGGAAGAGGGAACCTGCTCACTCAACAGGCCATGGGATGGAACAGAAGGAAGAGGGAACCTGCTCACTCAACAGGCCACGGGATGGAACAGAAGGAAGAGGGAACCTGCTCACTCAACAGGCCATGGGATGGAACAGAAGGAAGAGGGAACCTGATCACTCAACAGGCCATGGGATGGAACATAAGGAAGAGGGAACCTGCTCACTCAACAGGCCATGGGATGGAACATAAGGAAGAGGGAACATGCTCACTCAACAGGCCATGGGATGGAACATAAGGAAGAGGGAACCTGCTCACTCAACAGGCCATGGGATGGAACAGAAGGAAGAGGGAACATGCTCACTCAACAGGCCACGGGATGGAACAGAAGGAAGAGGGAACATGCTCACTCAACAGGCCATGGGATGGAACAGAAGGAAGAGGGAACATGCTCACTCAACAGGCCATGGGATGGAACAGAAGGAAGAGGGAACATGCTCACTCAACAGGCCATGGGATGGAACAGAAGGAAGAGGGAACATGCTCACTCAACAGGCCATGGGATGGAACAGAAGGAAGAGGGAACATGCTCACTCAACAGGCCATGGGATGGAACAGAAGGAAGAGGGGAACCTGCTCACTCAACAGGCCATGGGATGGAACAGAAGGAAGAGGGAACATGCTCACTCAACAGGCCATGGATGGAACAGAAGGAAGAGGGAACATGCTCACTCAACAGGCCATGGGATGGAACAGAAGGAAGAGGGAACCTGCTCACTCAACAGGCCATGGGATGGAACAGAAGGAAGAGGGAACATGCTCACCCAACAGGCCATGGGATGGAACAGAAGGAAGAGGGAACCTGCTCACTCAACAGGCCATGGGATGGAACAGAAGGAAGAGGGAACCTGCTCACTCAACAGGCCATGGGATGGAACAGAAGGAAGAGGGAACATGCTCACTCAACAGGCCATGGGATGGAACAGAAGGAAGAGGGAACATGCTCACTCAACAGGCCATGGGATGGAACAGAAGGAAGAGGGAACCTGCTTACTCAACAGATCACGGGATGGAACAGAAGGAAGAGGGAACATGCTCACTCAACAGGCCATGGGATGGAACAGAAGGAAGAGGGAACCTGCTCACTCAACAGGCCATGGGATGGAACAGAAGGAAGAGGGAACCTGCTTACTCAACAGACCACGGGATGGAACAGAAGGAAGAGGGACAACCTTCATCAAGTTTTAGCACACAGATATGTCAAAGTAAGGGCAAATTACAATTGTCTTCTCATCTGACATTACATATGAAGGATGTCTGCAATGTAACCTCATGGCTATATACATGATGTTCTCCCTTATCCACACTTCCTCTTGCAAGTCAGATGGTGTCATGGAATGTTTCAACTGTTCTTCTGAAGGTCTTGTCCTGAAAACTGGTGTTCTTTGCATTATGGTGTTGCATGGCGCTTTTGCTCTGACATTTTCTTTCTTTGTAAAGATCACAGAGAGGGCAAAGGTGGAAGCTTCAGCGACTTCAAAAAGGAGCACAACCTTGATCAGGAGACCATACAGCAGTGGGTGTATGATGTCAGGCAATGGGCAAGACATACCACAGGTTTTCCATATATACATCTGTTAATTACTGTAAGTTTAGACATACAATATAAGTTGGCTATATGTTGAAACTGAGACTGTCACTGATTGTATCTCTTCTCCAATTGTTTTATTGCAACTATTTAGAGAGTTTACGCCCCAGGGTGTACTGAAGGACTGAGGGTGGATATTGAGAACATCACCGGCACTCTTTTGCGCAGGAAGCAAGATCTGTATCGTCAGCATGGTTTGTTGTCAAACGTAGTTTGAAATTACACTTCAAAAACAACAAAAACATTCTGGCACCATGACACAGTTTTGTTTCCGTTTCACTTTGCAGACAACAACCAGGCAAGGCCAAGAAAGAGGAAGAGAATGAGAGAGCTGAAGAAGAAGCTTCGCGAAAAAGTTGTGCAATACAACACCGGAGTGCAGGAAGAACAGATTGACGAGGAGTTGGCTTGCAGTCTGACAGAGGGCTACATCCTACCATGGGAGAGGGCATGCAAATGGTGGGGGAATTGCTAGTTTGGCTTGTGTTTTTTTAGTCCATACCAAAATATGACAGTTTATCGTGGGCAGAAAAGCAATGTGATACCTGCAAATATATAATATGTGTTATTAGTTTACATTATAGAGAACCAATGCTATCGCTACAAAGATTTGTGTCTCAGAAATGAAAATCATTCTGTAATAATATCATTTATGAATAAATATTCCTTGTCCACTACTCCATTCCTTTCCTCAACCTAAAGGCAACACCTTCAGGTTGAAGAGGTCTGTCTTGAGCAGGTAATGCTGGTCAGACGTTTGGAGGAGGAGCAGAGCATCCTGGTGAGAGAGATGTCGCAGCACATCATGTTCCTTCTGAAGAAGTGCAAGAAAGTGGAAGCACTGAGGAGACAGACTTTGGAGGGCATCACAAACCAGCAGTATGTCTGAGATCTTAACATTTGAATATTTTCATCCACTTTTCAACCACATTGCATGTGTTGAACACATAAGTAGAACACATCTGTCACTGTGTCAGGCCGAAGATGAAATAGTAAATTACTGAAACTATTCATCATCAAGATCATAATCGATTATTTTCTGTCTATTGACTAATTGTCAAGCACTATATCAAACATTAATCAACATATCCCATTTGGCACCCAATATATACTAACATCCTTCAGTTTGAGATGGATTCACCTACTTTGTAGTGTTTTTACATATGCAGCATTGTACAATGCAAAGAGATTTACAATTGTCATGGTTTGTTTACATTGAGCCCTTTTTCTGTGTGGTTATTCCTATATATCCTTTCGGTGACCTGACAGAGGATGCTGCACATGGGCTCAAGAGTGTCCTCAGTCGGAGGTGGCACTTCCTCCAAAGCCAACACAAACAGGCTGTACATGCGTACAGCGGTGTAGCCGCTTTGGAATGCCATGATCTTCAATTACAGCAGGACATTGAGGAGTCGGATGACAATGACTACACTAGCCCTGAGTCTGAGGAAGAAGACCTGTAAAGGTTTCTGCCAAGCAACACAGAGGCACTGGAGAGCTCTTTCACAAGGGAGGTGTCACGTCCACACGCTGGCGCACGCCATAATAAAGGCCTACAAAATAAAGACATTTTAAAACACTATATATGAGAACAATATGAAACTATGCACTTGTTTCGCCCGACTGAGTTCATAATAATGTGAAAATGTGTTTATATTTTGTACTTCCGTTTATTTAAAGCGCTTTGACTTGCTGATGTGTATGGAAATAAATTGCCTTGCCTTTATATTAAACTGCCTCTTATTACTCAAACAAGTGCTATACAGTGGTTGTTTTCTTGTCACTGCATTTTGTCATTCGTTGATTATGAACTATTTACAAGGTGACTAAACATTGAAAGACAGAAGTTTTCATCACAGTGAATACATTGTAAATACATACAATACAATAACATAATTCTTTATTAGTAACGTGCATAATGCAGGGTAAATACCAACACATTCTCACTCCCAACTCGTACTTCTAATTTTGTATTATTTTCTAAACCACACACTGTTATTTACTCAACAATAACACACAATTATTCTTGTGTTTATTTGTTTGATTGTATAATGTCGGACTTTTGGAGTCCGAAGGTCGGAGCAGCTCATAGTAGTTGCTTTAGAGAATTTTACACCCGGAAGTAAGTATTCTCTCTTCTTTGCTTGACAAACCCCGTGATAGTCCTCAAGCTCTGTGATTGGATATTGGAGTGGCAGTGCGCAGAGCGTCCAACAGCACTTTGAAATGGAATGGAACCACGACAGACTGTCCAACACTGGAGTCGGACGGGTCCACCCCCTCCCCCACCCCGTCACCAGAACTACACGTGCTGGCTATTGTGTGTTTCGCACATAGGTTTCGCAACATGTTCTATGGCACGTCTCTACTGGGAGTTGTAGTTTTAAAAGACGTTTTCGTATTTCCCATAATAAGAAGTTGCCAGTATTAAACTGTGTACATCCCTGGAGGTTTAGGGGATACGAAACACATGTGTTTCACATTTAAAACATATCATTAATAAATGGGTGAAAATTGCTTGTGTCCATAATGGGCAGCATTACCCACATGACAGCTAAGGTCAGAAGAGCTTTGTTTAACAGCTGGTCTTATGTCTGTGACCCCTCCTGTTGTTCATTGATGAGCCTGAAACATGCACTTGTCAAGGTTCAGAGGCACATTTAGCAAATATGGCAGAAGCCATCGATCAGTCTTAAGATAAGATATACTTTATTGATCACAAGCGGGGCCATTTTTTCGTTACAGCAGCATGTGTAACAGTTGGAAATATGCAGTGGTGTTTATTTAGAAATCATTTAGTATAATCACACAAATTCTATGTTTTATATTTAATAATTCTCTGTTCCTCATTTATTGGATGTTCAATACCTGACAAGGTCGGAGATTAAAAAGGTCAGAGATTAAAAACTTTGGTCGCAGGTTCCTCAACAGTGCATTACAAGACATCTATCGATATGTGTGCATACCTCCACCATTAAACCTGTCATATTCTGCACATTTCTTATTCTATCTAGATACATCTTATAAGAGTATAATACATATGTATAATATCAGTTCAAATAAGTGCTTCAACTTAGTTAACATTGCAGGAAAGTTGATTGTCAAGTTCCAAAACAAACTATGCAATATATTAAACGTTAAGCACTTTGTCAGACTTAATATTGGTCTGTAGATTCCCCCAAAGCTTTTTTCTTATTTAAAAGAAGACCTTAACTTAAAGTAATCTTTAATGTTAAAAAGAAGCCTATTTAGTTTGTCTGTTTTGCATCCTCCTGTTAATATCTTTGGACGTCCGGCACTAAACGGTTTTATTGTAGAGATCACAACAGTATCTTCTTGATATTTTCATCTATATTTATATGATTGACCTTCTACTTTCCCCCTATGTATGTACTCTTAATATTTGTATGTTTCATGAAATATAACATAATTCAACAAACAAATTCAATAACGTGCTTTAACCACTAGGCGGTACGGGTTAAAAAAAACTAACTTTAAAGTGTTAACAAGACAAATGATACTGCTGTTTCCAGTTTAGTTTATGATGGATGTATTTTGTTATCGACACATATATTGTTTTGATATTTGTGACACAAATCTTCGG